ACTCCAATGCCATATGCTGTCTTCGCTGCTGTTATCAGTTCATCTTTGAGTCTTGCTCCAAGCCCTAATATTATTCCTTGTAACTGCAAAATGGAACCAAACAAACCACTCACCATGCTTCCAAATCCAGCTCTTAACAATTGTGCTCCTTTGCTTGCTTTTTCAGTGACCCATTCCAGTAAGTCTTTTAACTTTTGAATTACCCCTGCTCCTGCCCCAGTGGCATCAGTAAATAATGTCATTTTAAATGCTGTTATTAAGGCTACTGCAAGTGCTGCTCCAATCCCAAATACTGGTCCAATTAACCCGAGGAACAAGCCAAATGGACCACCCCTCATGCTCTCTACACCATTACGTACCCATTCTGCAACTTGGCTTACTCTTTGGATTACCCGTGCTCCTGGCCCTGTTGCTCCAAAGTTAAATGACGCTTTAACTGCTGATATCAGTCTAAATGTGAATGCTACTACACGTCTAAATGTTGCACCGGTTAACCTTGAAACTGAGCCAAATAAAGCACCCACCATGCTCTCCAATCTAGCTCCTGCCCATTGTGTCAGGTTGTGTACCTTTTGGATCACAAATGCTCTTGCCAATGCTGCTCCAATGTCTAACATTACTTTCAGTTGTGTTATCAATGCTACTGTGTGTTGAATTACAATGCATGCTCTTTGCGACACACACTTTTCCACCTTTCCACCTTTTGTGCTACTTTGTTTACCATCTACAAATTCTTTACCCTCGCTTTTTTCTTTCTTTACCTTCTTTCCCGGCACTAGTGCTGCAATGTTTAATGCTTCTTTCGGTGCTCTTATTAATTTTAATATATGTCCTCCACCACACCTTAAAAGTATTTTTGTTTTCCCAAAGAATAAGCCAAATGGATTATCCAACATTCTCCTAAAACCACCAAGTAGCCATTCTGCTTCTTTGCTTCCTTCTTTAATTACCCATTCTGCTACTATTCTTGCTTTTTTTATTACCCATGCTGTTGCCAGTGCCAGTCCTACATTTAATGATGTTATCTGTTTATCTCTGAGTATTGCTCTACCCATTAATATTGTTCCTCCTAACCCTAACATTAACCCAAACAAAGCAACCATGATTTTTTCTAATCCAGTAGCTCCCCCTTCTGCTTCATAGCTTACTTCTTGCATTACCACTGTCGCTACTTCTGCTTCTCCATTGTCTAATTTCATTGTAAATAACACTATCAGTCCAACTGTGAGTGCACCTAACACTATTACTTCTAACCATGAACAGAAGTTAAATTGAGCACCCATCATGCTTTCTAAACCACCACCTATCCATGCTAACCCTTTGACTAATTTTTGCATTGTTCTTTTAGCTACTTTCCATGGTTTCAGGATTACACATGTTCCTGCATCTGCCACTCCAATGTCTAATATGATTTTTATCCCTTTTATCAGTAATACTCTAATTGCTTCTTTACCCTCTAATATTTTTACTCCTAATTTTAAAACCAACAAAAATGGAGCATGCACAATGCTCCTTAATCTACCACCTACTATTTCAGTCTTTTTCCTTAATTTTTGTATTGCCCATTCTGTTCCTCTGCTAACCTTTTTGATTGCCCCTTCTGCTCTTGTGACTAATTCTTTTATCATTGGTGTTATCAGTCCAACTGTGTTTGGTTCTCCACCCCCTAATATCTTACATCCTAACCATGTAAAGAAGAGAAATGCATCACCCACGATTCTCCGGAAACCACCACCTACACATTCTGCTACTTTTATTGCTTTTTTTATTACCCATGCTTTTTCCTCTGGCACTCTAATGTCTAATGTGTTTTTGAGTTGTGTTGTTAGACTTTTTATGAATGCTGCTACACTCTTTAATATTGTTACTGCTAATGCTAAAACCAAGCCAATTAGAGCACCCACCAGTCTCCCTAATTTACGACCTGCCCATTCTGTTCCTGTCCTTACTTTTTCCATTACTCCTGGTTCTGCCTCTGCTGCTCCAATGTTTAATGCTGTTTTCAGTTCTTTTAACAGTTCAATTACGAGTATTGCGCCTGCCCATGCTATTGTTCCTACTAACTCTAAAAACAAGCAAATTAGAGCACCCACCATGCTTCCCAATCTACCACCTACCCATTCTGTTTCTTCGGTTACTTTTTGCATTACCCACGCTCCTGGCCCTTCTCTTCCAACATGTAATGCTGTTTTCATTGCTCTTTTCAGTCCTACTATGAGTGTTGCTCCACCACCTAATAATGTTCCTATAAGGAAGCCAAAATTTGCATTCACCATCTTGACTAGTCCACCACCAGCACTTTCTCCTCCTTTGCTTAACTTTTGCAAAACCTGTTGTACTACCTTGCTTATTATTTGCATTACCCACTTGTTTATTTCTTGCATTATCAATGTCCCTGCTCCTATTGCTTCTATGGCTAATGCTGCTATAAAGGCTGTTATTAATCTTATTTTGAATGCCACTACACTCATAAATCCTGTTCTTGTTAGCCAAAAAAAGATTGCAAATAGAGCACACATCATGCTCCCTAATCCACCGCTTACCCCTGGTTTAGTTTTTGTTTTTGTCTCTGTAATTTCTATTTGTCGTTCTCCTTTTCTTGCAACTTCTTCTTTCCTCCTTTCCTTTTCCGTTGATGGTTTGTGTTCATCTAGCTCTTTTTCTTCATTTTCTCCTTTGTCTTTATCTTTTGCAGTGCTTCCTTCTTGCGCTTCATTTGTTGTTCCCGGGGTTAAAACCACGACAATTGGCCCGAAGAAGGCATTTGCCACTGACTCTGCGGCATGACCTTTAAATTTGATCAATCCATTATTATAGACACTGTCGCTAGACGTTTTGCAGGAATTTCCTTGTGGTAACATCTTACTGGTGTAACACTTTCCTTTATTATCTTTAACTATCTGATCCACTGTGTTTAGGAGTGCCTCCACCTGGGACTGGTCTCTAAAAGATTCCCCCAATTTGCTATACTTGCTATCAATGAAATGGTATCGACCCTTGATTTTCATGACCAAATCACTCAAACATTTATTCTGAGCCATCAACTTCTGAGTCTTCATTCCTTCTGGGAGAGTGTCTTCCTGAGTAAAGACAACTGCAGCATATTTAAAAACTTCCTCTGAGAAATATTGGCTTATTTTCTCAATGACAGCCTGCTGCTGCTCTGTGGATTTCTCCACTTTGAGCACAATGAGAAAAGCATGAGGCCCTGGAATGCATTCACTGACAGACTTCAATATTTCAAGCTTACGCTTCTCCTCTGAACCACATGGGGCATAGAAATCAGGAGTGTTGACCAAGGTTATCCGTCTTCCATGGAGAGATTTGGACTCAGCTTGACATTCCGTATTGTCAACCTTGAACAGATCTTCTCCAAATATAGTGTTTCCTAGACTGTTTTTCCCAGCTCCCAGCAGGACAATCCTGTACAATTTTTGCACTGGAAGGAAATAAAAACAGAAAATGAATAATGTTTGTTTAATGCTGTTTATGAGGTTATTAATCAAGAATAAACATTTACTACATTTATAAGTGTTAGGTTTTGTAATGTTGATTGTCATTTATGCTTAGAAATATTTAACCATATATGCTTAGAGGTGTATAATTAAT